GCTGGATTATGGAGAAAGCCAGAGAGTTCCAGAAAAACATCTATTTCTGCTTCATTGACTATGCAAAAGTCTTTGACTGTGTGGACCACAGTAAACTATGGCAAGTTCTTTAAGAAATGGGAGTGCCTGAACACCTTATCAATCGCCTGAGAAATCTATATGTGGGACAGGAAGCAACAGTTAGAACTGGATATGGAACAACTGATTGGTTCAAAATTGGGAAAGGAGTACGGCAAGGCTGTATATTGTCCCCCTCCTTATTTAACTTATACGCAGAATACATCATGCGAAAGGCTGGACTGGAGTAATCCCAAACCGGAATTAAGATTGCCAGAAGAAATATCAACAACCTCAGATATGCAGATGATACCACTCTGATGGCAGAAAGTGAGGAGGAATTAAAGAACCTCTTAATGAGAGGAGAATCCAAAAAATGGTCTGAAGCTCAACATAAAAAAAATTAGATCATTGCCACGGGCCTCATCACCTCCTGGCAAATAGAAGGGGAAGATATGGAGGCAGTGACAGAGTTTACCTTCCTGGGCTCCATGATCACTGCAGATGGTGACAGCAGCCACGAAATTAAAAGACGCCTGCTTCTGGGGAGGAAAGCGATGACAAACCTTGACAGCATCTTAAAAAGCAGAGACATAACCTTGCCAACAAAAGTACACATAGTCAAAACTATGGTTTTTCCAGTTGTGATGTATGGAAGTGAGAGCTGGACCATAAGGAAGGTTGACCTCCGAAGAATTGACGCTTTTGAATTGTGGTGCTGGAGGAAACTCTTGAGAGTCCCCTGGACTGCAAGGAGAACAAACCTATCCATTTTGAAGGAAATCAACCCTGAGTGCTCACTGGAAACCAGATCCTGACGCTGAGGCTCCAATACTTTGGCCATCTCATGAGAAGACTCCCTGGAAAAGACTGTGATGTTGTGAAAGTGTGAAGGCAAGAGGAGAAGTGGACAACAGAGGGTGAGATGGTTGGACAGTGTCATCGAAGCTACCAATATGAATTTGACCCAACTCCAGGAGGCAGTGGAAGACAGGAGGGCCTGGCGTGCTCTGGTCCATGGGGTCACGAAGAGTTGGACACGACTAAATGACTAAACAACAACAATTTACCTCCTGCTTGCTGCTACTAGCTCTGTTAACACCTTAAGGGAGTTGCTTCCAACCTTGGGTAACTCCGGTGTTCTTGAACAGCAACTCCCAGAAACTCTGGCCAGCACACCTGGTGGTGAAGGCTTTTGGGAACTGCAGTCCAAGAACACCTGAGTTACCCAAGGCTGGGAACCTCTACCTTAACAGCTATGTGTGTGCTTTTGTTTATCCTAGTGCAAGGTTTCTCAGCTCCAAAAGTTCCAAATTAGCTTGCTTTTATTCTGTAATTAGTTATGAGGAAATAAGCAGGAAGCTTCATCTACATGCTAGGAACAAACTTATCTTCTCATTGCATCTATTCAGGTCCTTATCTTCAGAGCAACTGGCTATAACCATACTCTTTGGGTGGGAACTCAGCATAGTAAATAGTCAAGATGATGAGTACTGTAATCAGACAACATCTGAAGGTCCATACAGCCCCTACACCTGTGCTCTGTTAGTACCATGATTCTCAACTGAAGTGGTCTTGACCCCAAAGTGGAGGGACATGCACTGAAAAAGCCAGGTCTAAAATAGTTTCAGAGGAAACTTCTCAACTGTTCCTCTCTGCTGATGTCATATTCAGAGTACCTTAAGCTGGAATGTCTGAATAGGTTCCTTCTCTATGTCATACATGAATGTTCCCAGTAGTGTTTCTTCATCTGTTTCATCATCTATCCCCTAGAATTGAAGACAGCCAAAGTCAGTAGCAGTTGATAGAGATTGCATGAAAGAGCTGATAGATAACCTCTGAAGCAATTCTTTTGCAAGCCAACATAAGAGGTCAATACAGATGCACAGCTCATGGAAATCGTGGGTCTAAGTCCAGAAATGGATGGCCTCTAGAGGTCACTCCCATCCCTAGACCTTAGAGAGTGACAAGCACACATGTGAGCTCCCAACTCAATGAGGAGGGGGTCGAGGGGTGCTGGGGGTCCCTCAGGACATGGCAAAAATTACCTCATCCACACAAAGGCCAATAAGGGAAGTTCTTGAGCCACCACCGGCAGTGTGGGAATGCTGGTGCTGCGTTTGGGAATACATTGGGTTCTCGGGGAGGGAAGAACCATATGGTCCATATGCTGCATGTTGCCCACTCACCCATGTTAATCCAAGCAGTCTAATGAAAAAGGGCTGAAATGAGGATACAGGGGGATAAAAAAGCAGGAAGATAAGGACGCTGGTGGCCTGCAAAGCAGGCAAAGAGGAAGGCTAGAAGGCAGCAGGTAGAGGTACTGGCCAGACCCTAAAGAGAGAGAAAATCCTCAAGGCTAGAGTTTGGGAGGTTGCCCTCTTGCCACATTGGAAGCAACTGAAAGGAATCAGTGGGCTACCTGGGATAAAGAGGCTACTGGGCTTTGAAGGGCATTCCTTGCTACCTAGAAAGGAAATGATCATAGAGAAGGAAGGGGCACCCACTCCCACATGCTGATAGTGTGGCCTCTGCCTCAAAATGTGGACTGTCAGGACTAGTGGAAAATCCTACATGTCAGGGCTGCCCTAATGAAAGCTGCCGGTGAACTCTCCCACTGCTTGAATTGGAGTTCTCTGGGTCTACCTCAAAACTGAGATGGGAGCCTTTGTCTTTTGGATCATAACTTCCCCAGTCTTACAGCCAGCATGGCCTGAATTAATGTGGACTACAAAATTTTGGAAGTTCTGTTTCAAAAAGCAAACATTTCCCATCTCTCTCTTAATGGAGGAGGTACACAACTGCAGTGCTACGTTAGAGAGCAATACTCACATAAACCAGGAAGTCCTTCATGGCACTAGTGACTCCGTTTGAAGGGGAAATTGCTTTGGTGATGTGCTGAACTGTCACGGCTGTTGGCTGGATTTTTTCAGGCAGTTTAATTACTATCTGGCCTTCTGTTCCTTGGAAAGCCCAGCAGTTTCCTGGGTTAACATCTGGCTAGAAACAGGAAGCAACTCAAGTGAATTCAGTGTGGCTCTTTGACACACCATAGCTTGCAGTCCATATTCAGTTATATGGGTAGGGCGATACTTTATTGAAAAAGTCTTCCGATCATTTCACATTCAAATATAATAAACAGAAACTAATGAGAAAAACAATAAACATTTAACTCACAAAGGGTTAAAATTATGAAATCCAAAAATGACATGTACAGTTTAGTCAATTAGGTGAAAAAAAATGCATGGCACATTTAAACAGCCATTTCTTCTTCTTTTTTTCTGAGAGTAGCTCCTTTAACTGCAAAGAGGGCAACCCTCTGTTACAAACTGATTAGGCCCTTGTAAAAAGAAGTTCAGTTTGTTCTCATCCTTCCAGTCTCTCATGCTGTGAAAGAAAGGGGATAAATAATGTTCTCTGATGCTGGGATATGTTGGGAGTTTTTTGCAATCTTGCATGTTGCCTTTAAAGGTTTGGCTGGGAGAGACCTTTCCAGGCTGAGGTGACTGTTGATCTATCCAGCAGTGTTCCTTCCCTGGCTTTGAATTCAAAGAGAGACTTGCCTCTCCGCTCTGAGCTCTCTGCCCTCTCTTTTAGTCTGTTGGAAGCAGTTAGTCTGTTGGGGTCTGGTGCTGAAAGCAGTCGTGTTTTGTCAGTTTACTGTATGATCTGTTCTATCGTAAGTAATGAAACTTGTTATTCTTTCTCCTACTAGTGTCTCAGAGTGCGTTATTGAGACTGTAAATTCCAACTTCATGAGGATAAGGGGTGAACTAAATCTGGGAAATTGAAAGCTATTTTGCTCCGTGAGTCCCTGCACTTCTGTTGTGCAGCTAGAAGAATTTAACCAGAAATTCAAAACTCTGCTACAGAATATAGCTGGCAACACAATAGGAAGTGGGCAAGATCTTCCACTTTGGTTGCCCCACAGCGAGTCACTCCCGTACCGAGACATCAGAGGGTCAGAAACATAAGGTACCACCTTGCTCTTTGCCTCAAGCAGCAAAATGTCTCAGGTCAGACATGCTCTCATGTACAAAGCTCCCTCTGCATATTGTATTGCCAGACAAAACTTTCAAGATCTGTAGAAGGGAAGGGCAGGGGAAAATAGCATATTATTGAGTGGGGACTCCTTCCCAGTCCCCTCCCCTTCCAATCTCAATTATAAAAACTTGAATGATTCTTTATCTGTCTCTCACAAACACTGTTCCAAACCCAATTGTTTAGTATCAGTTATACAATACAGTACCTCAAGAACAGTACTAGGGGGCTTTGCTGCAATCATGAATAATGATTTAAACCAGCAGTTCTGTACTGCCTCTGGTTCATAACTCTTCGATGTCCTGTCTTTATCAATGGTGGCTCCTTAGAGATTTAAAAAAGCAATAAGTACAATTAACAGAAGAGGTAAGCTCCACTGATCAGTCATAAAGTCACAATGTAATTTTGCAGCAAGTCTGTCTATCACCGCCCATGTCACTTTTTATTTTTATTTTTATTTATTTCCTGCATTTTTCCTCATGTTGGGATGGAAGGCAGCTTACTGCATTATTTAAAAAAAGAGAGTTAAAAATACAGTAAATTATAGACTAGAATCCTATTGGTGTTCATGTAAGGACTGCATAACTTGCCATGGCTAATTGCAGCTAATTGACAAGGTGCCAGAGTGTATCTTAGTTGAGCCATCATGTGTGTGACCAGACATACAACCTGGCATGCCATCAATTAATCTCAATTAGCTGTGACACATTACAAAAACCTTAGGTGAACACCAATAGGATTCTGACCATAATTTTAAAGCATAATCCTATGTTAAAACAGCAATATTAAAATTATTTTAAAACTTTAAAAAGCACATAAGAAAACGTGTATGGGAAACGCACAGCACAACTCTGCCATTGAAAGTTTCTCAGTGTCTTGGAAAGTTAGTTGCTGAAGATGGAGTCTAGAGAGAAAGCCACTGCTTTTCTTTGAGGCTGAGACAAGGAGATGCTACTAAAGAGCGCTTCAGGACTGTCGTCACGCCTTGACATCCTTGTTCCTAGGGACCCACCAAGGCTGCATCAATATGACTCCAGCTGCTCAAAGGCCACAGAAGCCTCTAGCCCAGCAATAGGCAGCACTAGGCTCAGGAGCCCCAAGTGACCTCTGAGCTCCCTCCCCCCCCGCCAGCCATGCCACCTAAGGACAAAGACAAGTTGATCAATAAAGATTCAGTGGCAACCCAGAAGCATATTTCCTGTGGACACATTTTAGTAGTTTCTACCAAAAGCTGGTGGTGAAGGCTTTCTGGGAATTACAGACCAAGAATTCCTGGATTACCCAAGGTTGGAAACCACTGTTCCACAAGCCATTTAATGCAAGCAAAATGTTGGTTTCAGCACCATGATCTGCCACCAGATCTCCATATTTACTCTTTATATTTACTCTTACAGTTCCACTGATTTCAATGAAACTTATCTCTAAGTCAGAATGTGTGGCCCTTCAGCTGTGGTTGGGCTGCAGCTCCCCTCAGCCCTAGCTCATGCAACCAAAAGAGATGCATGATGGGAATTATAGTTCAGCAATAGGTTCAGGTCCACAGATTTGCCATCTTCAGAATGTGTTCTTAGGATAGCTACTTCACTGGGTTTCCCATGCTAAAATGTTGCCTCATTTATTCAATGAAAATTTTGCAAACAGAAAATGTCTATCCTTACCTATTGTTTTTTTGGCCCAGTCAGCCATCTGTACATGGTCCTCATAAATCTTCTTAAAAGCCAGGTTGATCATTGCAAGCACTTGCTGTGAAAAAGGGGGAAAACCTATCAGGTGAATCTCAGGGAATGGAGGAAATGGTTATTGCAAAAATCAATACCAGAACATTCCACAACGTGAATTATGAATGAGTCCAAGGAGTTTTAAGAACTGGCACTCAAGACTCTACCTATAACCATTTTTGTGAATCTAAATAACTTGGCACCATGCATTTAGAGACAAACAAGGTGGTAACTCAGTAACCACACACACCCAGTCCCATGTTTGATGAATCAGCAAGAATATGAGAGCTTATGGTGTTTGCTGGTGGGAACTGATAGAGGAGAGTGTTGACTGGTTTCTGATGACCACAGGGATGAAATAACATTAAAACTTGCCTATGCCCTACTACAGTGGCAGGCAACTTGTGCCCCAGATAATGTTGAACTTTGACTCCCCTAAGTACAAGCTGAGATAAATAATGACAGCTGTAGCCCAACAGCATCTGGATGGTCTCACTTTCCTTATTCTTGGCCTAGTGCCTACTTGTGGCTGTTCGTGCAAGATTTTCCAGGATTTCATTCACTCCTGAAAAGACGGTCTTAAGCAAGAATGCATGACTCAAGATAAACACACACAATGTCAAAGTTACACCACATCTATTCAGAGACCCTCCGTAATACTCATGATTCGTGCATACCCCTATCAAAAGAACAGGACAATCTAAGATCCTACAAGCCCAAAGGTACACTCTCAGTTCCCATGGAACGGTAGTTATCAGGGATGCCCAGTGCCCTGCGTGAAAATAACCTACTGCCGAGGATAGTGCTCAGAATCCTCTGAAACAGGTAGAGGATCTTCAATGTAGAAAGAGTTCCCTGAGGCCAGAAAGTATGAAAAGTACTGCTATTGGATAGTAAATTTAAGTGGGTTTTTAAAAACCTTTTTGTTACTAATGCTAAGGTAGTTGAGGTCAAGCAGACAAACCTAAATCTTCCTCTTTGGGGTTTATTATGGGAACCTAAACTTGTAAGGGGATGTGATGTTATATAAAAGAGGAACCAATGAGGTAGAAAAAGATGTAATGATGATTTTCCTGCTTCCTACATCTTTGTTTTCTCCAGGAATATCATTCTCCTCAAGAATTTGCTTTACTGAATGCAGGATGCCTTTGTTGATGCCACTGATCTCAGCACGCAGGTGATCTGTCTCTTTTTTAAGGCTTTGGATTTCATGGATCTGTTCTTGAAGCAAATTTTGTGACTTCCTTGGAAGTAGACAAAGAGAAAAATCAAATTTTTGGTTTGCCGGGATCCAGTTCCCCAACCTACAATGCAACAGTCATAGAAAAGAAATTCCACAAAAGTTTTTGGATCAAAACTTATTCCTACGCCAGTCCTGCTGTGTCTACTGAGGCATGTTCCATGTGCAGAACTGAAGCCTTAAATGTTTTATCAGAAATGCCCTTAGACAGCATGTTGTGCCACCATCTCTTATTAGAAACAATTCTTTATTATGTTTTTTGCAGGGTTGGCTCCATTACTCATCAAGAGACTCCATCTTTGTCTTTCTCTCACACACACACATACACACTGCCCCAAGTTAAGACGCATGAACCCAAGGCTTTCCTAGTTGTTTTGACATCTAATATCACAAACACTTCTCTTTCTAGAAGTAAAAAATGCAACTATAGAAGCCTAAATAATTAACATTTATCTGCCCTTTCATGACACAGCAATCCAAAGATCTAGATGACAAGGTACCCTGTTTCCCCGAAAACAAGACCTAACCTGAAAATAAGCCCCAGTATGATTTTTCAGGATGCTCACAATATACTGTAAGCCCTACCCCCAAAATAAGCCCCAGTTATGTGAAAACCCGCCCTCCACCATTGTGCAGCAACCAGAAGAAGATGACATGGCTGTATATGAATAAATGTAGATTGTTGTACATGACAAATAATTAAAAATCCCCTGAAAATAAACCCTAATGCATTTTGGAGCAAAAATTAATACAGTGGTGCCTCACTTAACGGGTGCCCCGTTTAACGACGAATCCGCATAGCGACGATTTTTTTGCAATCGTTTTTGCGATCGCATTGCAATGTTTTTAATGGAAAAAATCACTTTGCAATGATCGGTACACTGTTTCGCATACCGAGCATTGCATAGCGATGATTTTCCAAAAGCTGATCAGCGGTTCCAAAACGGCTGCCGGGGAAAAAATGGCCAAATGTTTTTGCCTGGATTCCTCGCATACCGGGCAGTGAAAATGGCGGCCATATGGAAGATTTTCGCTTAAAGGTGAGTTTTAAGCCCACAGGAACCCATTGAAGGGATTTCAATGCATTCCTATGGGCTTTTTATTTTCGCATAGCGATGAAATTGCTTCGCAGCAATTTTTGCTGCACAGATTATCGTCGCTATGCGGGACACCACTGTATAAGACCCTGTCTTATTTTCGGGGAAACACGGTACATATTTCTCAGTAAGCACACGGAAGTTCAATATGGATCATGACTACTACATAGAGGTATGGAAGGAGAAGTTCCCCCAATTGCCCCCACACACCTTGACCTAAACATGAGCTAAAGCAAGAAAAGAATCCCTCTATTAACATGAGCTGTGTTTTTCTCTCTCCAAGCGTTGGGTGAAATAAGGGGGGGGGGAAACCAGCTACAGAAGCTTTAAACCATGTTAATCATTATCTGGACTGAGTCTCTGAAAACTCACTGGTCGAAATCTTTTGGCTTAACTATGTCTGAGGAAGGACATTACCAATACTGCCAAAAGGCATAACATCAGGAAGAAATTTTCAGAAATTAAAGATTTCCTCCTTCTGTCCCACAGTTCCTATGGTTTCTAAATAATGAAAGGGATTACACAGGAGTCAAAAAAGCCACAGAGCAGAAGTATGACATTTTAAATTACCCAATATTTCCTGTTGCCAGTACTGTCATCACCCTTTCATAGGTGTAATTTGAACAGGATTTCAGCCACTTAGAAGTAAAAAACAAACAAATTCCCCCCACCCCCTTCCAGACTATATATTTAACAGTGCCTCTAATTTCATTGTGAGGTGCCTGCCTTTGACTGGCTCTGATGCCCATTTACTGACAACCTAAAGATCAGCCTAGAAGCCTACAATAAAGAAATGGATTCTGCCCAATGTCTGCAACGTTTAAGTAGGGTCCCTTTCTCCCAAATCTTCTTACCATAATGATTTCAACTCAGTTTCATACAGCTGTGTGAGCTCCTAAAAGTGGAAAAACCAATAGATATTTATCAACACAGTATTAATCACCCTAACAAGCCTTTCAAAGTGATCTATTTTCATTTTCTTAGGCAGACTTGCCAACCAGAGCCTGAACTGTCCTGGTTGACCAGTATGTGGTTCTATAACTTACAACTTCCTATAAGGGAGGTGAAGCTGGAAGAGAATTCAGTACAGCCATTCTTGCTGCCTGTCGCCTCACTCCCTGCCCCTTCGAATTTCAGCACAGAATTGGTGGGACCTCTGCACAGGGTTGAGGACTTGAGACTCACTGTTGAGTCATGCTTAAGTCACACCAGTGACTCGACTTGGACTCAACTTGGGTTTTTTCCCCCAGTGATTCACACTTGACTTGGGAATTGGAACCAAAGACTCAGGATTTGACTCAAGTTTTGGTAGCAAAAACTTGGACTTGAGTCTTGGGTCCAAAGACTCACCAACTTCCATGCCCCTGCAAGACTCAGAACAGGAAACAGAGTTCCACACAGCTGTAATTAATATGTTTGGCCCCCCTTGGCTTTTGCTGCCCTATTGGTTTATCCTGGGTCACATGAGACTGCCATATATGGAAAAAGGATGGAGGAATAGGGAGGAATGCAGAGTATACAACAGCCATTTCAATTCTGTACTACTTCTTTTGTGTTTCCTTCTGTCTAAAGAGAAGCAGCTAGAGACAGAAGATGAACTTAAGGTGAACAAATGCAAGTGGCCAATGTCAAGTTGGTGGATTTGTTCCCATCAGGCAGCAATTTTTTTGCCTTAAAATTTTGGCATTTTGGGTCACAGTCTTGGTTGCCCCATCCTAGTTCTGAATTCATAGCCCACTCAGACTGGTGGACAAGTGCTCTCTCCATTAATTGAACCCAAAACAAAACCGGCATGTTGCACGCGCCTATTCAATCTTTGTTCCCAATTCTGTCTTTCCCTGCTGGGGAAACTAAATGCTGCACACGGTCAAAGGCCCTCAGCCCTAGATGCCAAAATGTTTATGAACCTAAAGCATCAGCTTTCAGTACATCTAGGGTATAACTAGAGTAGGCACACAAACTGGTTCAATATTCTATACACCTTTACAGCTTCCTTTTTTCCTTCTTCTTTTGGCCACTGTTGCTAGACTCACTAGAAAGGGTACTTTTCTGCCTTCTTGAGAAATGGGGCAAAGTTATTTGTCCACCTTGACAAGTGATTGCACGGCATTGCTAACTTAAAGCCAGAGCTTGGGAAATTTTATTTTATTATATTGCTTTTAAGAAGTAGAACTCTCAGAATCTCAGAGCCATCGTGGCCATTGATGATGCTCAGTGGGGGATTCTGGAACTTGAAGTCCAAAATTATTTATTATTATTATTATTGAACCAAATAGTAGTCTGCTCATATCTTTGCTTACAAACAGAGGCAGTCAGCCCAGCAGCCAGTTTAGGACTATCGCTCCCATAATGCCAGACAAGTGGCCATGCTGGTGGGGGCTGATGAAAGTTATAGTCCAAAACATGAAAGTGAACTGGCGACCTACCCCCAGCATAGAACAACATTAGCATTTGCTACTTCTTTGGACTGACTTCAAAGTATCTTCCAGCCTAGAAATGTCCTCACCGTTGATGACAGACCATCTGATAATTTCACATATTGGCAAAAGCAATAAATGGCACCTGGAAGAAATAAGGAAATAAAATTTATTGATAATGAATAAACACTATCTCTATATAAGCAATGACATTTGTTGTGCAGAAAAAATATCTGGGGTGTTGAAGGATATACAGTGGTGCCTTGCATAGTGACGATAATCAGTGCAGCAAAAATCGCTGCAAAGCGATTTTGTCGCTATGCGATATTAAAAAGCCCATAGGAATGCATTGAAACCCCTTCAATGTGTTCCTATGGGCTTCAGACTCACCTGTAAGCGAAAATCCTCCATACGGTGGACATTTTCCCTGCCCGGTAAGTGAGAAATCCGTCCCAGAAAACAGTGGGCAGCCATTTTTTTTACCCGGCAGCCATTTTGGAACCACCGATCAGCTGTTAAAAAATCATCGCTTTGCGATGGTTGGTAAGCAAAACAGGGTACCGATCATTGCAAAGCAATTTCCCCCCATAAGGAACATCGCAAAGCGATCGCAAAAGCGATCACAAAAAGTTAATCCCTATGCGATTTCGTCATCAAACGGGGCGCCGGTAAAGTGAGGCACCACTGTATATCCACATCTAATTAAAACCCAAGTATTTTTACCATTAATTCTAAAATTCCCTTTAACTTCCAATTATTCAGGTCTAGCATATTACTTAATTTGTTTCAGGAAGCAGAAGGGAGTCTTTTAAAAATCATTTGCAGACTGAACTCTGACTTGATTCTTTCACTCTCTTTGCAAATAAAAGGAATCAAACTGTAATGGTTAACATCACCTTATGATTCCACATCATGTACATGACCCAACAGCACAGATTTTAAAACTATATAGTTCAGGGGTCCCCAACCCCCAGACTGTGGACCAGTCCCAACACTTATTTTAGTCTGGCATGGCTCGCCCATTATTTTACAGTGGTGCCTTGCTTAACGAGCGCACCGTATAATGATGAATCCGCATAGCGATCCCTTTTCCGGGATCGCTAATGCGGAGGCATAGGGTCGGCCCCAATGGGTGAAACTCGCATAGCGAAGATCGGTAAGCGTTTTGCTTACCGATCTTCACTTTGCAACACCCGAAAATCAGCTGTTCGGCGGCTCCAAAATGGCCGCCGGACTCCCGAAATTGCCGTGCACAGCGTTTTCGCGCCCTCCCCTCACTTAACGAGGGCACGAAAATGGCTGCCGGACCCAGGAAACTTCACTAAATGGTGAGTTTGCAGCTGATTTGGCTTTTTACTTTCCGCTTAGCGAAGTTTTCACATAGCGAAGGTTAATCCGGAACGGATTAACCTCACTATGCGAGGCACCACTGTATTACCCCATCTGTCCGCACCAGTTTTAGTAAGCCCACAAACCAACCCTAGCCAAAATGAGTAAAAAACAAATATCACTGGAGAGCTTCTTTGCAAAGGGGGAAAGCCTTCGGAGTTTTTCAAAAGAAACAAAAACATGAACACAAAGAACAGAAGCAATTATTGATGGCCACCACTTCATCAAATGCGTATCACTCTTAGTCGCTAACCATTGCTAAAGCTAAGAAGCCATTTACTATTGATCCTGCCTGCTGATCCTATTGATGAACTGATCCTGCCTGCTGCTAAGGATATTTGCCGTGAACTTTTAGGAGAGGCTGCAGTTCAAAAGGTGGCACGTGGTCCTCTTTCAGCTAGCACCATAGCTAGATGAATTGATGAAATAGTAGAGGATATTGAGGCACAGTTGTTAGAGAAAATTAAAGAGTCACCATGGTATACACTCCAGGTGGACGAGTCCACTGATGTTGACAACAAGGCAACAATACTTGTTTTTGTGCAATATATTTTTCAAGACGATGTGCTTGAGGATCTTTTATGTGCGCTTTTATTACCAACCAACACCACAACTGCAGAACTCTTCAAGTCTTTGAATGATTACATGTTAGGAAAACTGAACTGGTCATTTTGTGTCAGTATATGCACAGATGGAGTGGCTGCCATGACTGGACGGATTTCTGGTTTCACCACTCGGGTCAAGGAGGCTGCTTCTGAATGTAAGTCTACACACGGTGTCATCCATAGAGAAATGCTGGCTAGCCGAAAAATGCCACCTGAACTTAACAAGGTTTTGCAGGATGTGATTGAAATGATCAGCCACATCAAAGTGCATGCCTTTAACTCACGTCTGTCTGCACAGCTCTGTGAGGAGATGGATGCAGAGCACATACATCTTCTTTTATACACAGAAGTGAGATGGATTTCTAAAGGTAGATCTCTGGCCAGAGTTTTTGAGTTACGAGAATTGCTCCAGAGATATCTTGCAGAAAAACAATCACCAATGGCAGCATATTTCAGTGACACAGAATGGGTTGCAAAACCTGCTTACTTGTGTGACATATTCAGCCTGCTCAACAAACTCAATCTGTCACTTCAGGGGAGAGTGACACGTGTGTTTAAGTCAGCAGATAAAGTAGCTGCATTCAAAACCAAACTAGAATTATGGGGACAATGAGTAAACATTGGGATTTTTGACATGTTTAGAACATTAGCAGATATTTTGAAAGGTACTGAGCTAGTGCCTTCTTTCTCCCAGCTGGTGCATGGTCACCTATCTCTGCTTTCAAACTAGTTTGAGAATTATTTCCCAACAGCAAAAGACTCCAGAACTGGGAAGGAATCAATCTGTGACCCATTTGTGAATAAGCCAGGTGAATCAACTTTATCCATGCGAGAAGAGGATCAACTACTTGAGATTGAAAATGATGGTGGCCTTAAAATTATGTTTGAGAAAACTTCAAATCTCCGTACATTATGGATTAAAGTAAGAGCGGAATATCCTGAGATTGCCACAAAAGCATTGAAAAGCCTGCTTCCATTTCCAGCATCCTATCTTTGCAAAGCAGGGTTTTCTACTATGACAGCAAACAAAACAAGATTATGCAGTAGATTGGACATAAAAAACACACTTCAGGTGTCGTCTTCCATCTTCACCAGATGGGACCATCTAGTTGCAGGAAAACAAGCACAGGGTTCCCATTGATTCTGCATTATGATGAGTTGTATTATTATTTCATTATATATTACAACGTATTGATAATAGCAATAAAGAGCGCAATACATATAATGAGCTCGATCCAAAGCTATCCTCCAACAACTTACTGCATAACAAGTACCCCCCCTCCCAGTCCTTGGGAGAATGGTCTTCAACTAAACCAGCCCCTAGTGTCAAAAAGGTTGGGGACAACTGATATAATTATATAGAAAATATTGTCCTCTACACACTGTTCTGTGAATTAGTTCCCCACTGAACAGAAAGTTAAATTCAAGACCAACCATTTCCTTATGCCCCATTGAATCAAGATTAATTGGCTTAGATTAATAGTTTATTACCCTAAGGCAAGCTTTCAATCTCAGTTACACAATGTGTCAACCAAAGTCATTCCATTCCTGTTTTCTAAAGGTTGCTAGCTCTTGACCCCAAGACAATGCCTGTAGTTTCCACCAATTGCAGAGATGTGACACATTCATAACAGTGCATTCTTCTGCTCTTTTGTCCTGTCTGCTTTGCTAACACAACTCCTATGTTGTTTCAGATCAAGCAATTGAAAGTGGATGTGCTAGGCCAGAACTGCATGATCTCTCATCCCAAAACTCTTAAAAGAACAGTCACCATATACAAACACTCAATGGTCTTTCTCCTCTCCACCCTCTTTAAATCAGTAGAACCACTTTAGAGATATCTCAGACAGTAAAAAAAAGCATTAGAGAAAAAATTATGTTGTCATGTCTTCCTGTAAAACTAACTGATTACACACAGAGAGATTTTTCCTTGGGGCATGTTCTAAGTTATGAATCTCCCAGGCCATATAAATGTTTTGGACTAATTTATATGGCATGGCAAGCTGGTTGGTTCTGGGAGTCATGGTCTTGAAAATAAACTTGTCCAGGTTTTCTGGAACCTTTTCCTACCGCATGTAATCAAGAGTGTAGGTATGTTGATTAGAGATGGGACAGTTCATCCCGGTTCATTTACTGCAACAACAGGTGTTCAAGTCAATAACTTCCAAGGATTTCTAGGTATAAAGTACTCATAGGTGGTTTACATCCTCTTCTTATTTGGGTGCAGACTGTTCAAGACTACACAGGCTGGCTTTTTCCATGGGAAAAACAGTGAGGGATTGAACTGCCAAACTCTGGCTCTGCAGCCAGATTCCCAAAATTGAATTATGCTGCCATTTTGTTAGGTGGGTCTTTATATCAGTCCATGAATAATCAACACCACACCTTAGTCAGTCCTAAAATTAGGAGAAAGCTAGAGCTGGAATATGTTCTTTTTTGGACAACAAGTCCTGGAAACCAGCATGACCACTGCCTTACCAGTTGATAATTTCTGGGACCTGTAGTTTCTTTTCTCCTCTCAAAAGGAGAAACCTGTTCAAGCTCTGTGGAAATGGATACTTACCACATATGATAGGGACTGCTACTATCAAGAACTTTAAAGCCTTCACACAGTTGGCCATAGTGAACTGGTCTCTGAAGAGGAAAAAGGCAAAGTGGTCATAAAATGAACACAGATGGAAGAATCCTTGGGAGTCAGCTCTGATTACAGAAGAAATCCCCACAGTACTATAGAGCACCCTGTGACATTGTTAGTTCCTTCCCTAAAGGAATGTCTGCTGATCAGAGAAGGATAAAACATGTACAGCATCTCTGATGATTCATTAGACAAGAACTGCATCCATTTCATATTTCTCTCTCTCTCCTCTCTCCCTTGCCATGCCAGGTATAAGACAATACATGATGTGACATCACTGCATTATGCCTCCCTCTCCCACTGCTGATTATGTAAAGTGAAGACACATCTCATGATGCACTGTGGTATGTTAGGTGTGACAAGGACAAAAATGAGACAAAACCAAGAAAGCTCCTGGAGATTTCTCTAGGGTTATTCAGAAGGCCCCTCATTACCTCAGGCCCACAGCTTTATGCTATATGTAATCCCTCCCATACTTGAGGCCCCAGATATCATTGGACCGCAACCTCCAGAAATTCACACCAACATCACCAGTGAGTAGGAATTCTGGGAACGTTTGTTCAGTTGTAGTCCAGGTCTAGGAAGTCTCTGAGGACATCCATTGAAGATGAAAAGCCCCCAGGTTGAATAAGATAGGGCTACTAAGGTCCATAAAGCATGTTTGGGGGTGTTGTTTTGTTTGTTTTGGTCATCTAAGACAATAAAATGTAGAGGACTAGCATGAATTGTGTGCCAGGATAAAAGCTGTTTAGCCTACTTAAATTTTTGTGTGTCAAAAGTCAAGACCTATGTCAACGTTCTTCCCCCCCACCCCACAAGTGGATATGATTGAGATGGAATATCTGTGCTGGCTTCTCTTACTAAGTTTGCTAATTGAGGTCTTTTGTTTGTATGTTTGTTTTTGTCTTGGTAAAAGCGGCTCTGAAAAACTTCACATTCAGACTTACTTTATGCAGATGCAAGATTGTAAGAGATATACGGGAAGGCAGAAAGCAGACATTATCACAAGGCCAGGTAAGCTGCATATAGTTTCTGGGAGAAAAAAAAATCACATGCAAATGTCCAAAACCTGTAACAAGCATTAGTGAGTAGTTACGCTTATCAACAACCCTACAAGGCATGTCAGTATTATGACCTCCTCCACACCATTACAGATGGTGTGACTGAGGTTAAGAGAGAGAGAGAATCTCAGATAATTCATGATGGAGTTGAGGGTCAAAATGGGGGCTGCCAAAATTTTTCTTCGGATTACAGTGGACCCTCGACTTACAGACGGTTCCACTTACAGACTTTTTGAGTTACAGACTTTTCTGGCCGCAAAATTTAGGTTCGAGTTGCAGCTGGAGAATCAACCTACAGACTGGAAAAAACAAACAAAATGGAGCAAAAATGGCCAGTTACAGATTAATCGGTTTTCAATGCATTGTAGGTCAATGGAGCCTCGACCTACAGACTTTTTGACCTGCAGCCACCATTCCAATACGGATTAATTCCGTAAGTAGAGGGTCCACTGTATAGCCTAGCAGGAAGAGCCAGAATTCAGCTAAGATCCCAAGATTTGCACCCAGAAGGTCTGTGGTGCCTCTCCAGTGCCACAAAGGATTCAGACCAGGTCTGAGGCATGAACTTGGGTGATCAGTTTATTTGCCTCCATCTTTCCTCTTCTTGTCTGTTATGCATTTTGTCCTGTCTTTTCTTGTATGGTTGTCAGTACTAACTGACCTGTATGATGTAGAAGTAGTTTAGATATAGAGGGAAAGAGGACACTGGGTCAGAATACATAAGCTAAGATCAAAAGTGAATATAGTGGTGCCTCGACTTACAAATTTAATTGGTTCTGGAAGATGGGCGTATGTCGAAATGGTCGTAAGTCGAAGCACCATTTCCCATTGAAATGCATTGAAATGCAATTAATCCATTCAGGCGGAAGGGAAAAAAATCACTGCAAGACTCATTGGAAATGCAATTAATCCCTACCGGCCGAAGTGGGGGGGGGGAGGAGAAAAGCAATCAAGCATGCAAGACCTGTCAGAAATGCACATAAAACAAACAGAGCAGATTGGAAATGCACAGAGAACAAAGGGATCAGGTCGGAAATGCACAGAGAACAAAGACAGCAGTTCAGAAATGCGCAGAAAACAAAGGGACCAGGTCAGACATGTACAGAAAACAAACGGAGCAGATCGGAAATGCACAGAGAACAAAGGGACCAGGTTGGAAATGCACAGAGAACAAAGGAAAAAGCAAGGGAAGCATGCAAGACCCATCAGAAATTGCGGAAAAATCCCAAAAGCAACCAAACCCAAGGCCCATCGGAAATGGGGGGGGGGGAAACAAAAAAACAAACAACCCCCTAAGACCCATCGGAAATGGGAAAAACACTCCAAAAAACAACCAAACTCCCCAAGACCCATCAGAAATGGAAAAAAACCCAAAAACAAACAAACCCTCCAAGACCCATCACAACTCCCCCTCCCCAGCCCAAAACCACGCTGCAAAAACACCCAGAACAGTTTTTAAAAAGCAGAAAACAGCACCTTACCTTACCAGGCAGCCTTCTCTGATTGCACATTCTCTAACTGCTGGGGCGAAAGAGCTACAAAGAAGCAGCGTTGTCCCCATCTACAGTTAGCAATCTGAAATTCCCACCTTTTTCTCATGCCTTTTTCAATTTGTAACTGGAAGCTCCGGCCACAAGTTGAAGCAAAATTTTGCGGCCGGAGCTGGATGTAACTCGAAATGGTCACAAGTAGGGACGTTCGGAAGTCGAGGCACCACTGTATGTTTTATCCGTGTTTTTTAAAAAAGACAAAAACTGTAGTAAGAAGGCTGCCAGCCCAAAGTCAGCGAAAACAACATTCAGCAGACCAAAACATTTTTTTAAATTAAACAACCTAATTTAAAACAATATGATCAACAGTGGCTGGAATAGTTACTTTTGGACTGCAATTCCCAGAATCTCCAAACAATAATTTTCCAGAGCTTTTCAAAGTCTGAAAAAATTGACTTTTTCAGCTCTAATCATGTATCCCTGTATGTAGCACACTGTGTGTGTAGCAAACACACCCACAAACAGGTAAGAATGCTTTCAGCACAGATAGATTTTCATTTAACCAAAAAAATAGGAGGGGGGATTTTAGGGAAATCTTTTAGAACCCAGGCTCCATGGACTCCAATTCCCAGATGCTGTGCTGGCTGGGATTTCTGGGGGTTGCAGTCCAAGACCATCTAGGTTACTCAAGGTGCGGAACTATGGACATAGGGCAATGAACAAGGTAGGAAGCACACATATCCCCATTACTTTGATAAACAGGGACATAGACAAAGATTATCTTCTCGTCTCAAAGAACAGCAGTTAGCTCATATGAAATGATAGGTGTTTAGAATGGCAAGAGACTAGAATGAGCACAAACTGAACCATGGACCAGATGAATAGGGTTGGTTTGTGGTTTGGTTCACAATCCAGTTTGGGGGTCCTGTTTGAAGCAAAATGAAGCCCTAAACTTTTTTCTCCTTGGCACTTTGTTTTGCTTTGGCAAAACAGGTGTTCACCTTCCCAATGTCCCTGTTGCCTCCCTACCTGATCCTGACGCCTCTTCTGCTGCTGCTCTCACTGCCATCATGGGAGACAGCGAGCCAGCTTCCCTTCCAGGAGCTGGGCCCAGTGCCTTCATGCATGTTTCCTTCCGTCTCGGTGTATGCACAATGTGAATGACAGCAACAGTGACAATGGCCATCCATTAAAGGTTTCCTTTGGGGATTTCATTGTGCACCCAACTTTTGCGCAATATAGCAAAGCCGTGTGTACTCTGAAATCGGCAACGGAAGTCTTTAATCAGTGGCAATTTGCCACTGCTGCTGCCATCATTCCTGTTGCACATACAGAACAGCCAATCAGAACCATTCCTAGCAACATACCATATTCTTCATGCACCCCCTCCCATCACATACTTAGCAAACCATATAACCAATGTATTTAAATATAACCAGACATCACACCTATGGATGGACTCATGGCACTTAAAGTGGTGTCAAATTATTGTAACTGTACAGTGTGAACATTCTCCGCAGAAGTGATGGGATAACATGGGTAGATGACAATATCATCTGGAAACTTTCCCCAAACCAAATTCACTGGCTAAGGCAGAGCATTGGCACTGGCAAAGTGAAGGCACCCATCGTTTCAGACTGCTTATGGAAAAGTACATCCCACATACTTAGAACACTCCGCTGAGATGCCGTAGAGCAGCCAGAAGACAAGGTGCTAGAGCTGGTCTCCCTCTCAATTACTTCTCTTGTAAATATCGCTGTCCCTCTACCTGATGGATCCTCTGCCAAAGAAATAGTATCTCATTAGCACGACATAACAATCGTAGTATCATTTGCTTCTGCCTAGAGCAGGGCGTGAACAAAGTGGCAGGAGTGAGCCAAACACACTCCACTGCATGGTAATACCTCTCCATATGCATCCCCAACATGCAGTTTTTAATGACCCCCAAAGTTCTCATGTGTCCATGTTTGGGCATCTCAGGGCACCTGATACATTTATAAGTTTTAAAAATTAGCCACCATAGGGCACGAGGGAGCTTTTTGAGTGCCTCCTTTTAAAAGAAAAATATTTCAGGGGTGGACAGGCTGTGGGAGCAGGGCGAGAGAGTTGCCCTCCATCTTCTTAATGTTATCCAGCCCTGCCCAAAATTTAAATACACCCAATCTGAAAGACAGGGTGCCTTTTTCTGTTGCTTCCGTTTCTCACTCTTTTCCTCCATTGTGGTTACTGATGGACAAATATCACCCAAGGCTTCTTGTTTAGATCAACTTTTGAGTAGAAAACAGAGTAGATAGCACAGTTCTGCTGCCTGTTTCTAGGATGAGACACAGTACAGTATAGGGGCCAAACTGTACACTATGAAGGGAGCTGAACCCATAGTAGTGTTCCAGGGATGTCATTCAGGCAGAATTTTGTGTCTAAGCAATCAAACTGGGAAACAAAGAATAGATTTATCTCCTAAAGGCTAAACATAAAACAAAAATGAGGTAGTTTGCGAACTACAGGAGGTGGGAGAAGTTCCTGCTGTGGCATTCATACAAAAGTAACACTTAAAGAATTCTTCCTTCTAACGAGGGGTCTGCTGCAATATACAGTTCATATAGTTGGGCATTCTGCAGTTGTGAAGTAAACACAAGTTAGTGCTTGCAAGGGATCCGTTGAACTCAATGGAAATTGGGCTGATGGGCAAAGCAGCCAAGCTAGTAGTGGAAGGAAGAGTTAGGGGGAAAGTGTGTATTTATACATACACACATTCAAACAGTAGAGACACAAACAGGAATTCACTCAGATATGCCCCTTCCCATTCATTCATTCATTCATTCATTCATTCATTCATTCATTCATTCATTTACTCTCCAACCCTGTCATAAAATTATAAATGTTTCTACCTGCTGGTGCGTTCCTCTATGTCTGATTCCAAAGAGGACCAGGTGGCTTATTAATGCATAGTCATTCTTTCATTCCCCACCCTTAAATTCTTGCATTCACTCACGAAAGGTGAGAGCCTTCTCTCACAGACCAGCTTCCATTCCTGATTACTGTCTTCTACCTTTAGATAATTTATTTCAGCACCTGCAGCCCTATATGCATTTCTCCAGGAATGAACACTAAGCAGAGAGACTTGTTTCTGATAGGCATAAGGTGGCACAAATAAGAGATTGCATTTTTCATGTTATTTTCCCCCTGCACCTGCCTGTATAGATCTATTGAAGCCCATTGTCAAAGGCAACACAGGCACAGACATTCTTTGCAGGTTAAAGCAACAGAAAAACAAACAAACAAACCTACCCTGTTTTGCATCATCCTATGTTTTGCTTCTCTGTGTTTAGAGCCGCAAACAGAAGAGGCATAGAGGAACTGGCCAATTCCTGCCCCTGTGAATGTCTCTGCTTTGATAATGCCCACTGCTTTGCATTATCATTGATCTGGAGGTAACAAGCTGTTCCTCAGTGACAACGCTGAGGGAGATTTTCCAGTTTTTCCTAAAGAAAACAATTTAGGATGGTAACCCACCATGGTAGGACCAGGCCTTTTCTGCAGAACAGCAAATACTTTTAAATGCAATGGAGAGAAATTACAGTGTCTTCAAGGCAGCTCTCTTAAGATGGCTCCAAATATTTGTGCCTGAGAAGCAGATGGATGAAAGGTTGTCTTAAGGTGGGGAGTGCTTCAGTTGCCCTAAATAACTGGCCCTCACTGATTGAACCAGCCTTATGATTAGTTCAATTTACAATCCTACCACTTCAATTCAAGATCTTTGAAAACAAGGCTGAACAACACCATGAAGAGAGCTCAAGCTACATTTTTATCTCAAGCCTCCATCCACAATACAGTAAACCTATTGGTCCATGTTTCTTGAATTTACCCCCATTTTCTTGTCCCTCATCACTGGAAGTTGTTTGGCTTGAGGAAGCAGTGGCGTTTCTGGGGCAATTTCCCACAGAGCTGCGCAAATACCAGCTGAAAGATAAGAAGGGGTAAATTAGCTCAACACTTCTCAGTGTTCAATTTGTCTAATGAAACATTCCACCAAAAACACTGAGACATTTAAGAAATTCAACTCTCTACTACCATGTGTTTTATTTTAAAAGGGGGAAGAAGAGGTGGTCTTATTTACTCCGCCATGTCATTGTGCCAAAACTCAGCGGTGTAATGTTAGTTTCAGTGGCAAATGTGGCATGGTGGGATACAAAAAAGAAGCAGAGGGTCACATCATAAGAAGAAAGACGTTGGATAGACCAAAAGCCTTTCTATTAAAAAAAAGTTCTGTATACTTTGCAGTCATCGTTGCCTATGGGAAGCCCACCAGCAGAACATGAGTGCAACTGCATTTCCGCCAGTGTTTCCCAGCAAGAAATATACACAGACAGGCTGCTTCTTAATATTGGAGATGATATATACCCTGTTTTCCCGAAAATAAGACCTAACCTGAAAATAAGCCCTAGTATGATTTTTCAATATGCTCATAATATAAGCCCTACCCCAAAAGTAAGCCCCATTTAAGTGAAACCCTGCCCTCCACCCTTGTGCAGCCACCAGAAGATGATGATATGACTGTATTTGAATACCTGTAGATTGCTGTACATGAAGAAAATAAAACATCTCCTGAAAATAAGCCCTAATGCGTTTTTTGGAACAAAAAATAATATAAGACCCTGTCTTATTTTGGGGGAAACATGGTAGGCACTTACCTAGCTACAGATGTCCCCATTCTCCATGAATTTATGCAGTAATTTTGGAGCTACCCAAGTTGGCAGCCATCACTACAACTTATGGCCATGAATTCCACAGTTTAGTTATGACTTGAGTAGGGAAATTGTGAGGAAAGGACAGGGAAGCAAACATCCTAATCTCTTAGCAGAATGTTACAGGTAAATTTGCTATTGTCCTTTTATAAGAAGTTGACTAGACTAGACCATCATCACGAATGTGTATTATTCTTCTTTTTTCATACACATTTTAATTCTATTGTTTTATCAGCATGTAGAGAGGGGTGGGTAGGGGTGGGTGGGGGGAGACCGTCAGACAGAGAGACTATCTACCTCCTTGTCTGAATTCCACTTGACCCCATGGAACCACTGGAACTACCATCACAAACATTGGAATTGTCTTGAGAAACTTGTGTTTGTTGGTCAGCGCTTCTTCGTGTAGAACGTTTCCCATTCATTTTGTAGAAGGTAAAGTGACAATTGGAAGTGTTCTAGAGAAATATATTGGTTTCTTCTTCTATTTGGGTCATGGACATGGACTACACACAAAAAAAACATGAAGAAGATTCACGCTCACAGCAAAAGCCCTGCTTTCAATAGGCTAGCATCAAAATAATATTCATTCTGTATTTCTAATGCCCTTCTGCACTAGAAATACAGAAGATTATCCTGCCTGACTTCTAGTAAGTGATGTCATAATGGGAACTCTACAGTGAGATAAACATGATGCCTTCATGACATCATAATACCATACTAGGTAGGAGTTAGTGCTCAGTGCTATCCAGAAGTGACTCATCCATTCTCCTTAATAATAATAATTTTACGCAATCAAATCAATTCTGACTTATGGCAATTCTTTTCACAGTTTTTAAGGTAGAGAACACACAGAAATGGTTTATCCCTTCCTTCTTCCTGGAGCACCCTGGGATGGTGCAGTTTGCCCAAGACTGCACAGGCTGACTCTTCTCGGTAGAGGCACAGTGGAGAATTGAACTGCCAGTCCCTGACTCCTCAGCGAGAACTCTAACTCACTGAGCTAGCCAACCATGCTTCTTAGGAATCAGAAAGTGGAAATACAGTAGGTAACACTTCTCGCAGAGAATCACTCCCTGTTACAGTATAGACATGTTGTACTGCATACTCATGAAAGCATCATTTTGTTGACTAGAGTGCAGCTGAACTTCAGGTTTTTGCTCATCATGGAATCCTTGAACAAGCTACCCTGTTTCCCCGAAAATAAGACCTAACCTGAAAATAAGGTCCTAGTATGATTTTTCAGGATGCTCCTAATATAAGCCCTACCCGAAATATAAGCCCCAATTAAGTGAATCCCCGCCCTCCACCACTGTGCAGCAACCAGAAGAAGATGACATGACTGTACTTGAATACACATAGATTGTTGTACATGACAAAAAATAAAACATCCCCTGAAAATAAGCTCTAATGGGTTTTTGGAGCAAAAAATTAATATAAGGCCCTGTCTTATTTTCAGGGAAACACGGTATGTAGGGTGAAGAATAATAACCTGGTCCCAGATTAAATTCCTGCCATACTCAACACATCACTGATCGGCATTTTCTGCATTGTGAGTAGCAATGGCTTTCCAGGATCCCCGACCCTTTCTCAGACCTAGGCCACAACTACAATCTGCAGCAACTCCTTTCATCAAGCTGTATTGTGCTTTAGAATTGCATCCAATTCATTTTTTTCTGTTCTGGATTTTAAACTAACTGCAGTTTCAGGTGATACAGGGCTGTTCTCCCGCCCCCCCAACCAGTCAACTGCCTCCTCTTTCCCTGACTCTCTTGTTTGCCACCCCCTGAATTCAGGGCTGTTTTTAACTTTTATTTCAGATGAAAAAGAAGGAGCTCATTGTTCAGGAGGTCCCTCCAGGGAGGTCAGGATCCAAGGCTCTGGATTCACCTTTGCCCAACCCTTTCCCACGTCCCGCACTCATCGCCTCCTCACTTTCCTTCACCCATCAACATATTTTTATTTCCCACCCTTCTTTGTGCCTTTGTTTGCCTATGTGGATGTGTGATTTTTTTCAAACCTGTAATTAAATTGCATAGGCACATAAACACCATTTTTAAAAATCAAAGGAGTAAGGCATGAGATCCCATCATGTGATGCTGTGCACAGCGCCCCCCACCATGCCCAAGGCAGCCATGTGCACACCCACCCAGGAATGCCTAGGTTGAATCTGTTCCAGTCCAAGAAATCATGCTATATTCCCAGCCAATTTCTGTCCATGTTATTTATATATTATATATAGAACACATTTATATTCCATCCTTTAACTACAGAGTTACTAAGATCACTTTGCAAGATACTGTACTTTGAATGGTCCCTGCCCTTATGCTTACAATCTAAATTGTAAGATTTGAAACATGAAGAATAAGGGATATGAAAAGGAGGAGAGAGAAAAATACCCCAGCTCTTTTAATGTAATGCACAGAATCTTTTTTGGAACAAAAATTTTTTGGTGCTCACGTAAGATTTCTGTAACTTGCCATGGCTAATGTGGCTTTTTACGATGTAGCCTGACATTTTCTCCATCAGCCACACTTAGTCACAGCAAATTACGCAAACCTTGTGCAAACGCCAACAGGATTCTGACCAAGGAATTGTATAGTTCTTAATAGAGATGGGCAGAAACCGCTGGTTCAGTGGTCTGTGCTGGTTCATTTTACGGCCAAACAGGTGTCTGGTGCTTCATAGCCTTGCCTCCCCTGACACTGGTTCAGTGGTTTGTGCTGGTTCATTTTGCGACCAAACAGGTGTCTGGTGCTTCATGGCCTTGCCTCCCCTGACAGGTGCCCACCTGGAGGCAGTGGCCTGGCTTCTCTGCCCTGCCTCCTTCCAGGGATTGCCTCTGAGTGGTGCCAGCTGGAGAAGGCAGGGCTTTGAAGTGCCAAACACCTGTCTGGCCACTAAACAAAACGGCACAAACCGCCAAACCAATGAGTGGTTCATGCCCATCTCTAGTGCTTACATATTAGAGAGAAAGAGAGGAGAGTGTCATCTTGCCTTAAAGACAAACTGCAATATTTTAATGTGAACTTTCATGGATCACATAGACTAATCTGCACAAGGATGTCCATCAAGCAGGCCTAAGTCTCCTGGTAGCAATATTTTAATGTGAACTTTCATGGATCGCATAGACTAATCTGCTTTCAGGTGGTGGCAACTCCACCAAGGAATGTTGAGGTTAATATTGCAAAACAAGGATGTCTATCAGGCAGGCCTAAGTCTCCTGGTCCATTTGTGGATGATCTGCAGTAGACTGGCAAGGATTTACAGCACATGATTTTTAACACTAGTGTCAATAAATTGGGGACAGAAAAATAGAGAAGCAATATACATGCTGACAATGAACACAACAGCTACGTAGTGGAAATGCTAGTCAATAAATTGGGGACAGAAAAATAGAGAAGCAATATACATGCTGACAATGAACACAACAGCTAGTGGAAATGCTGCATATTCCCACTAGAGGTCAGTGATAGTTAATGTTTTGAGGACATCCCCATTGAGGACTCCACACATTCTTGCTTTGAGAAAACCTAGTATCCCATTCTGCTACTCTGCTGACTAGCCCTGACACCTAACCTCATGCAGTAACCATCAGACATTTGTCCAAAGAAACAGAAATATTATATCACTGGACATTATTCTTTCTTTTCTCAGATTCTAGAGCTTCTTAGAGCATCCAGCAAATTAAGAAAATGACCATGTCTTAAGGTAATGTTACCCACAGCAATGGTGGGTAGATTCACTGCAGAATCTTTTTACTTGGTAAGGCACTGATTATCTCTTTGGACTCATACCTCCTTGGCAGTGTTACGAACATCAGCATGTGCGAGTCCAGACGGTGTTCTTCTGTGCATCTGTACTGTAGAAGTCAACTACACCGTGTTGTAACTTTCCCACTATCACAGTTTAAAAAACAGAAGTGGCTACCCTCAAGGTAATTGTCCTGTTCCTTTAAAAATGTTAACAAAATAAAATGCATAAATGGCTAATGACCAGAACAAGGACTGCTCCCCTCAAATTTTGGGCTGAGGTGCCCACTTTTTCCTAGTCTATAAACCGGCACTAGATAATTGGCTTTTGGATCTTCTATGTTCAGACAAAGTCATGTGGTATTCATTGGCTCTTGTCCTTGGATGTTCCTCCAATCAGGATGGGCTCCACAGAGTACAGTTCTTCCTGGATTTGGTCAGTATATTCCATCCAGAAGGGCAGGTTGGTTCACGTGACAGATTTTTTTTGTATGTGACCTCAGTGCCCTAGGCACACAGACTTATCTTGTGTATGAACCAGCCATCGTGGCCATAACCAGTAAAAATTCTTGTGATAGCAAACTGGAAAAATCAGCATAATCATGCATTATGTTTGTATATGCACACCCAAGTTATTTTACACATGACACTTGGGAAAGTCAGACAGGAGTCTATCAACATGCATAAGTAGTTGCCTTTGAGACTTCGTCCCGTCTGTGTGCCACTAAACTGGTGCTGGTTACAGTGGAAGCCTGTCCCCTGCCAGCCCCACTTTGTAAAGAATGCCTGCTGCAATGTTTGCTCTCAGGGCTGAAGGGCAATGGGTGGGACAACAAGGCATGGCGTCAGTGGCTGGGCCCTTCTAAATTCTGGGCCTTCTGTGTAGAGCAGCAATTTCAGCTTCCCTGTGTCTTGAATCACAATAAAATAACAAAGCAGACCCCACTAGCTGGAAGTTACTTTAGTACACTTCAGTGATTGCAGCCTCCTAGGGCCAGCAGGACCATCAGGCAGATCAAGGTGTATGACTTAGACATCAGATTGTGGGTGTCGCTAAAAGCTTGTTGTTAGTTACTTAATGCATTGTTGTTGTATTTTCAGTGCAGGATACAGGGCTACAGGGTAAAGCAATTTGCTGGGTATTTGCAGAAAACATCTGCCTAGCTTTGGTACCAGGGATGTTGGCAAGGTCCAAATCCTTGCATCTGTACTGTAGAAGTCAACTACACCATGTTGTAACTTTCCCACTATTACAGTTTAAAAAAGAGAAGTGACAAGGTCCAAATCCTAAGTTTAAAACAAGCTCCCCCCCCCATCCTAGAAAAAAGGCATGGAGTGTGGGTTCCAAGTTGCAAGTTGAGTCCAAATCACTTAAAAGAAAAAGAAAGCCCAAATCAAGTCCAAGTTGAGTCACCGGGTGCAATTTAAGTCTACCTTGACAGCAAGTCCCAAGACTCAAGTCCCCATCCCTGTTTGGTACTGTACCTTGACTTAGACAGATGTGGGGTACCATTTACTGGTCTGCCTCAGGCATGAAAGTATCCTCAGTCCCCTGAATAGTTTCTGGCCTCTGTGCCATAATGTGCCATTAGGAAGTCTGATGAAAGCACGGTTAATTTTTAATAATACTCTTTAGGAGAAGTTTCCTGAAATATGACTTTCCACTTGAAATGATTAAAATTGGGTAAGATCACAATAGCAGAAATGATTAACATTTGCTAATAAATGAAGGAAATTGATATATTAGCAATACTTCCTGTCTGAACAATAATTATGTTTATTAAACTTTTAAAAATTGAATGAATACCATGTAATTCATCCTCAAAAATCTGTTGTTATTCTTTAATTTTTGGCTTGTAGGAGTGGGAATTTTTTTAAAAATTATTCATACGTTCTAAATGCCATTGTACTCTGAAAGATGTATGTGTCTAATAAACTCCTTAAAACAACTGCCTGTAAACATTTTAAAAATGCATTGTAGTATTTATTGAAGAAGATGCAGTTTGTCTTTCCTTTTAAGTCTAGCTACATATTTCTGTCCTGTGACAGGCTAATCAGCAGAACCCTGTTGAGGAAATGATGAAGATAATGGAGAGGTTGAATTACCATCCATCCTGTCTTCAGCAAAACAAAGTTATTGATGCAGCAAACTCATGTTTATTCATTGTTGGAATCCAATTTTGTTTTCTTTATCCATTTTCCTTTTATTCTTTGTTCTCAATAAAAATGCTTTGAAGGCTACTGCTTCTATTTAATTTTAAAATAAATAAAACTAATGAGATGGGTAATGGATGGAAGTGTTTCAAAAAACCTTTGTGTTCTTTCCTTGATTATGAAAGTCATTTGCATAAATGAGGAGGTCTCCATGGTAGGAGCCACGTAATTGACATTTAATTTTTCTACCCTTCCAGTCTCCTATTTCTATCCTGGGTATCACTCACTCTTACACTTGTGTTTCTGTCCTTGTTACACAACCAAATTTTTTTGGGGGGGGGTTGAGTTCAGATTTATGAAAAGGGGAAGAGTGGGAAAGGAGTTTGAGAGTTCCAGTGTTCTTCTAACAAACTTCAGAGATCGTTTCTTGTTTATTTGTTTAAAATATTTTTATCCTCTTTTTCTCCTTAAAAAGACCCAAGGTAGCTTAAATCATTAAAAAGAAAATATTTTAAAGCTAATAACATTAAGTATACAAATGTTTAAAAATAATTAAACAAGCATATTAAAAACAGTAAATAAAATCAATATTAAAGACGCTTTTAAAAGCAATAGAGCACAACAATCCATTTTTTAAAACCCTGTCTTAGATACAGTCCATGTGAAAGCAGAAAAACAATAGCAAGCCCTACTGCTGATGGGGGGGGAGGAATAACAGAAATGAAAGAGGAAACACATTATTAGAGAAACAACAGATTGACTTTCACTCTTAGGGATGCTTCCATCATGTTTTTTTGTTTCATGTAAAAAAACACATCTCAATATCTGTACCCCTAAAATGCCTGTCATAACAAAGAAGCAGTGATGTCCCATTTCAGATAGATTTTTTTAAAAATCTGGGTTAACCATATAAAGAAAGTGCCATAAGCATATATCGTAGGAAACAGGTTTGAAGATCTGTATGCATTTAAAATGGGAATACAAAAGAAAAAAGAAAAAGAAAAAGAAAAAAACTTGTTTGGGTTTTGCAATTTTTTTGTGTGAATAAGCTGTAACTTAGAGTGGACAGCATAGTGTGTGCTCGCAACATATGGTTTCTGAGACCAGGTGCAAATAATGTATGTATGTATGTATGTATGTATGTATGTATGTATGTATGTATGTATGTATGTATGTATGTATGTATGTATGTATGTATGTATGTATACAGAACTTGGAGCATTAGGTCTCAAATTAATTATTTAATATTGGCTTTAAATTGAGACATGATCTCATTGCTATTGAAACTGTTTAATACTGTACATTAAGTTATGTTATTAATGTAGTAATGAAAACATTAATTTGGCATGCCATATTAACAGTTGTTCTCTATCAAAGTCAAATATTCATCTATAGTTTTCCCCACAACGGAAAACGACACATTTATGTGCCTTTAAGCTAGAATGATACTAGGCAGCCCAGCCTTGGCCATGTAAATGTTTATAGACTACAACACCCAGTTTTCTGGAATGTCAAGAGTTCATAACATTTTTAAGGGTTTTGGGAATGAGAATCCAAGGTCACCATCATCTGCAATCAAACAATTGTGCTATAAACAGCCCACTGACCACTTCCAGCTATACCTGTTTAGTATAATATTGTAAGACATTTCAGTTGAAAATGCTAGCCTGGCAGTAAGCGGCCATGGCAATCAATTCCTCAAGACAACATGATAGGCCTAGCAAGGGGAGGAAAATACTGGCTTTAGTCTTCCTTGGATAATGTTTCAAAAGCAATGTTATCTGGAGCAAAAGTGCAACCCGACAGTGTATGTGCAAGATGATGCTGGAGCATCTTGCAAGGCTGCTCTCCTAAACATCTTCAGTGTCTCCAGCTATTGAAAAAGAAAGACCGAGGCCCTAGCTGAGCTGAAGGCCAGCCAAAGACCAGTGAACAGTAAGGCATTGAGGGTCATGCTGGAATGGAAAAAAGCAAAAGGCCAAGGAAGAAGCAGATTGGCATAAAAGAAGATTGATACAATCAGAAACCAAGGGCAGGGGAGATAAGGCCAGAGGATTAATCAGGGCATTTTAAAAGATTATTGTTTAAAAACCAGCTGAAATTACTTCCACACTCTGGTCAATCTTGCTTTGATTAAGTCATGACATGCACACATGCAAACTCCTCTCCTCGCCCCTCTCTTATTTCATTGTGGCCACAGCAGAAACAGATGTTGTACCCAGTTCATCATTAACAGAAGGAGGTCCTTAACTGCTAATAGTGCCCATTTGCACAGCAAGAGCTTTGCTCACCTCCCATAATTTACAGATGAGTTTGCTTTACTTCATGATAGATTATCAGGACTGAAGGGCAGGGACCCTTAAAGTCTGGTTTCTCAAACATGAAAGGCTGCCTCAGTCACATCTCTGCAACAGTCCGTGCTTTCAGCTTTAAACACCAGCTATCTGGAACATCTGTGTCTGCCCTCAGTCTGAATTCAATCCAGTGGACAAATGTGGATTTTACATATACAGCATTTTTAGAATAAATAGTTGCATACAGCAGGAAATGTGCTTTTGGTTGCGTCTTTTACTAAGGGGCTAAATAGCTCCAGTTCCCCCCCACACCGCCTGTGAGTAGAGCCAGCTTGTGTAGCCATGGGCAAGCAGAACAGTCCCAAGGTCACCCCAGAAGAAGGGAATGGCAAACCACTCCTGACTATTCTCTACCTAGAAAACCCTGGAAATTGATTTGATGGCACATATTTGTTATGATTATTATAATTATTTTGCTAAGGTACAAACTCTGGCACTGGCTTCTCACTGTCATACAGGGGCAAATACACATCTGCTACTATATAATGAGCGAGGTTTCGTTGTGAAATATTTATGCTGTGTGTTTACCACATAGAGGCAGAAAAGTCTAAAAAATATATTGGATGTTACATAACTATTAAATAAATAAGCATCCCAGAGAGCTCACAACTTTAGCCAAATATCAGTTTTTTCTTAGGTCTTTCAGTAACAGGTAGTTGAACAAAGTGCACAGCAT